ACCTTTAACACCATCAAACAACATCTGCCTATCCCAGGTCCTTGGGAAGGACTTGATAGGTTGATTAAAATGCCAAATCCAGTCTAAACATCTGGCTGACTTTTCAACTATCAATAATAATGTGAGCTTAAGGCATCCATATATTAGTTGTGTTGCCACTTATGAAACTAACTATGCTAGTTCCAAGGATGTATGTAGCTGGTCCAGATTAGGCCCATCAGGAAGACAGGAACAACTGTGGATCCAATGGATGGAAAGTTATCTCTGCCACAATCCTGCCTATGGAAACCACATTTCAGAGCAACCTGCCCACTACAACAGGTGGGATAACCTTTATAATCATTTATGCAGCTGTAATACTGCACTTTATCAGAACAGATACTCCCTCCATTGAAGCATTACATCAATACAACTTCCCAAACCCTTCCATTGACATATACTAGATTAGAGTATTACACCCTTCCCAATATGAATATTTTAATCTGCAATGTTGTTTTTGTGCACAACATAATGTTATTGAAATAGAGCATGGTTGCTGAGCCATTCGGCATTAATTCAGCCTGCATATGCATAAATGTCATAATTGCATTTACTTGCTTAGTCATATACATTTGGCTCTAGGAGTAAAGATACATTAAAGTGTAAAGAGTTGAGCAGTTTTTTTAAGGAGATGATTAATATACAATCTGGCACAGTAAAAAAAAAAAATCTGTATAGTATTATTAATCCCAGGCTTCTTCCTCAGGATGGCAAAAATTTAAATTATTATGGTTGGTTGCATAGTCAGCCAGATGTTTAGACTGGATGTGGCATTTTTATCCATCTATCAAGTCCTTCCTAAGGACCTGGGATAGGCAGATGTTGTTTGGTGGTGTTAAAGGTATCCTTGCAGGATGTAAGCTATCCAAGTAAAGCTGCCTTTTGCAATTGACTGATGGTGATTTTGTCAATGCTGATGGTGTTCAAGTGTTGTTTCAGATGTTTAGGGATTACACCTAAGATGCCTATTACTATTACAGGTAGTCCTCGCTTAACGACTGTTTAACGACGGTCTGGAGTTATGACAGCCTTGGGAAAAGCACTTTACAACTCCTGTGGTCACATGATTGCAATTTGCAACCTTTTTATGATGGTCATTAAGCAAATCACTGCAGTCATTAAGTGAATTCCAGCAAAAAACATCCACTGGAGAAGCTGGATTTGCTCAACAACCACATGATTTGCTTAACGACCATTGTAAAAAAGGTTGTAAAATCAGCTCTGATTTGCTTAACGACCAAATCACTTGACGACCTAAATTCTGGTCCCTATTGTGGTCAGATAGCGAGGACTACCTGTACACCTATTACCACTGGTTTTTGGAACTGATGATGATGATGATGATGATGATTTCCCACAAGTCTTAGTTTGTACATTGGGCTAAAAACATAATGTGTTGCCTAAAAGGGCAGCCAAACAGATGTTTAATTCTGTCCAACCAAATGTTTGGTTCCAAAGTAGCAGAAATTGGCTTTCATTCAACCCAGGAGGCTTTGCATCACCTTTTCTGATGGCAGCCTTCATTTCCCAAGTCAAATTCTGAGGGCGCTTATGAGATGGTTTTTGAGGGGCAGCAGATGCTCTATACATGTGTGCAGAAAATACCATAGATTTAAATCAACAGCATATTTTATGTTCAGCAAATAATATAGGGAAGTTTTTTCAATGAAAGAATGATGTTCTAAGGTAATGGCTTTGTGTCCTCAGACCAGATCCAAAACTGCTACTTTGCAATTTCACTTACAGTATACCTATTTGCAGAGACATTATAATTCCACAGGGAAAAGTACTAAAAAAGGCAAAAGACAACAACTGCTGTAAAGGTTGCTATTTTGGGTTGGGAAAAAAGGAGGCATTGTTCTCCATGAAAGGATGATTATCATTTCTGACTTTTGCAAGTGGCAGCTGCCTCATCCAATGGTAGAAACATATGACATCAAGCTCTTCATTGCATAACTAACAAGAAGATTACAAATAAAACTCTGAATATTAACACTGAGGCACTAACACTTGGATGAGGCAGCTAACCAGAGTTATTATTCAATTGAAGAAACCAGACTTAAAAAAAATAAAGAAAAACCTTCTCTAGCTGCTCTGATTTTATTAGACATCCCAGCAATTGGGACACTTTCATTTGCA